GCACAGGGACAATATATTGCGAAAATATTGTAAGTTGTGGTTCATAAGGACTACAACAGGACTACAACAGGGCTACAAATTTGCCAATGTTGATGAGGAAAAAAAAATGTTGCTTGTAAAAAAAATCCGATGCCAAGCCAGACCAGAGTGTAAAACATACCCAATTTCAGACCAAAATGGTCAAAATCTAAGCCCTTTTTAAGTCCAAAACCGCGCAAAAACCAACTGCAACAAAGTACCCCCGGTTCCCCCGGGGTAGAATGTACAAGTTCACGTTTCGCGCAATAGCGCGGTCGCCTGGGGTCAAGGGTAACCTTCCTCGGACCATTATGGCGGCGGATTGTGATGAACTTTGCGGAGACATCCGAAGGCCTTTGGACCTTAAGAAATGCAGTAGAGGCTGGGAAACTCAGAGAGAATGCTCCTACTGGATCCCAGAGGCAGATATAGTCGGCGAAGTACCGAAAGACCTTCGTGGGACACTGTTTCGAAATGGCCCAGGGATTCGTGAAGTTTACGGTACACGACTAAAACATCGTAAGTAAACTTATATTGTTTAAGCTTATATATTTGTACAATTCTATCCGTTGTTAAGAAAAAATTTAGCGAATACATTCTTTAGGATATGACTTTAATCAGCGTTCTCAGATGTTTATAAATTGTCATTTTCTTTAACGTTCAATATAAGCTTATATAAAGGCCAATATTACGGCCGACGAAACAGTCTGTAAAATATTTAATGGATTAATGCCAAGCTACAGGCCACCACAGGGTTTGTGTGAAAATTCTTAATATTGTGCTAGGATGGAAGAAACGTAGACTGTCTCAAAGCCGATTTCTGTTTTTCGCAGTCAGGGCCGAAGCCGAACTTTTCTCGCTGTCGGTGGTGTGTCCGGGGGTGTGTCAACAAGAAAACACATTAGCAGGCAAAAAGGGGTCGTTTCTTTCGGGTAGCCGGTACTTTCGGATGGTTAAAAAATGTTTGCACGGTAATTCACAGTTGTTTCGTGTACCCCATGAAATTAAAACTTCCGTTTATGTATGTTGCTAACTACCCACATAAACAAAGCAGACTCTACACTGTAGGACAACAGTATAATGGTTGCTTTATATCGCAAATGCAACTGATTATGCTATATGTACAGCCCCTGAAATGATCCTGACCCCGAAATGATCTTCAGTGAATCTTAGGAATGGCAACAAAATGTGGGACTGTGGATCGCTCAATAAAGCCATTTTGGCCTATGTAGTAAATTGATTTATGGTATCGATATGAACAACTGACAGGGGATCATTTCGGGGTCGGGATCATTTTGGAATCAATTTGGGGATCATTTCAGGGTTGGAGATCATTTTGGGGTCAGGATCATTTCGGGGGCTGTACACATATCATTTGACACTGCTGGCGAGTAAGTAAGTAAGTAACAACTTTATTTACAGAGGGTAACACATAACAGTGAAAAGTGACGAACCAGTAGCCCTCTATCCTACGTTAAAAATTAAAAACTATTTACACTATAAGATAATAAAAATTACAAAATAGAATACAGCTAAAATTTAAAGATATGATAAAAGTTAAAAATTTAAAAAATCTAAATCTAGATATCCACAACTAAAAACTAAGCTAAGATCATGGCAGACAAATACAGCTTGTAAATCTAAAAACTAAGCTAAGATCATGGCAGACAAATACAGCTTGTAAATCTAAAAACTAAGCTAAGATCATGGCAGACAAATACAGCTTGTAAATCATAATGAGATAGTTTCAAAAAAAATTAGGCAGTTCAAAATAAAATCACAAAATTATAACTCTTCAAGTTGTTCAGTCGTGCAGGCAGGCTGTTCCATCCACATTGTGCTTGAGATCAGAGTTTCTCTTTTAGTTACTTCTTCAAAGAGTCGCTAGTTTTGGGTAGGCTGTCACTTTCAGGGGGACCGTCAAGTATTTTGGCATTCAATAGGAAGGTAAAAAAAATAATAACCTTAGCGAAGAGTCATAGGGGTGTCGGGGGATCATTTCTTTCAGAATTCTACAGTGATTTTTTCAGTGCTAAGTTGTGGACATCACTGCCCGGGAAACTTCTGTTAATACTTAAGCTCACTAGCAGAGAATTCAATCTAAACATTGTATGACTGCATGGTAAGAGTTTGTCATCCATATGTTCATCAAAATTTGTGTTTCTAGCAATTGATGGGGATGGAATGCTTTGTGCTGTAAAAAAAATAACCTTAGCGAAGAGTCATAGGGGTGTCGGGGGATCATTTCTTTCAGAATTCTACAGTGATTTTTTCAGTGCTAAGTTGTGGACATCACTGCCCAGGAAACTTGTGTTAATACTTAAGCTCACTAGCAGAGAATTCAATCTAAACATTGTATGACTGCATGGTAAGAGTTTGTCATCCATATGTTCATCAAAATTTGTGTTTCTAGCAATTGATGGGGATGGAATGCTTTGTGCTGTAAAAAAAATAACCTTAGCGAAGAGTCATAGGGGTGTCGGGGGATCATTTCTTTCAGAATTCTACAGTGATTTTTTCAGTGCTAAGTTGTGGACATCACTGCCCAGGAAACTTGTGTTAATACTTAAGCTCACTAGCAGAGAATTCAATCTAAACATTGTATGACTGCATGGTAAGAGTTTGTCATCCATATGTTCATCAAAATTTGTGTTTCTAGCAATTGATGGGGATGGAATGCTTTGTGCTGTAAAAAAAATAACCTTAGCGAAGAGTCATAGGGGTGTCGGGGGATCATTTCTTTCAGAATTCTACAGTGATTTTTTCAGTGCTAAGTTGTGGACATCACTGCCCAGGAAACTTGTGTTAATACTTAAGCTCACTAGCAGAGAATTCAATCTAAACATTGTATGACTGCATGGTAAGAGTTTGTCATCCATATGTTCATCAAAATTTGTGTTTCTAGCAATTGATGGGGATGGAATGCTTTGTGCTGTAAAAAAAATAACCTTAGCGAAGAGTCATAGGGGTGTCGGGGGATCATTTCTTTCAGAATTCTACAGTGATTTTTTCAGTGCTAAGTTGTGGACATCACTGCCCAGGAAACTTGTGTTAATACTTAAGCTCACTAGCAGAGAATTCAATCTAAACATTGTATGACTGCATGGTAAGAGTTTGTCATCCATATGTTCATCAAAATTTGTGTTTCTAGCAATTGATGGGGATGGAATGCTTTGTGCTGTAAAAAAAATAACCTTAGCGAAGAGTCATAGGGGTGTCGGGGGATCATTTCTTTCAGAATTCTACAGTGATTTTTTCAGTGCTAAGTTGTGGACATCACTGCCCAGGAAACTTGTGTTAATACTTAAGCTCACTAGCAGAGAATTCAATCTAAACATTGTATGACTGCATGGTAAGAGTTTGTCATCCATATGTTCATCAAAATTTGTGTTTCTAGCAATTGATGGGGATGGAATGCTTTGTGCTGTAAAAAAAATAACCTTAGCGAAGAGTCATAGGGGTGTCGGGGGATCATTTCTTTCAGAATTCTACAGTGATTTTTTCAGTGCTAAGTTGTGGACATCACTGCCCAGGAAACTTGTGTTAATACTTAAGCTCACTAGCAGAGAATTCAATCTAAACATTGTATGACTGCATGGTAAGAGTTTGTCATCCATATGTTCATCAAAATTTGTGTTTCTAGCAATTGATGGGGATGGAATGCTTTGTGCTGTAAAAAAAATAACCTTAGCGAAGAGTCATAGGGGTGTCGGGGGATCATTTCTTTCAGAATTCTACAGTGATTTTTTCAGTGCTAAGTTGTGGACATCACTGCCCAGGAAACTTGTGTTAATACTTAAGCTCACTAGCAGAGAATTCAATCTAAACATTGTATGACTGCATGGTAAGAGTTTGTCATCCATATGTTCATCAAAATTTGTGTTTCTAGCAATTGATGGGGATGGAATGCTTTGTGCTGTAAAAAAAATAACCTTAGCGAAGAGTCATAGGGGTGTCGGGGGATCATTTCTTTCAGAATTCTACAGTGATTTTTTCAGTGCTAAGTTGTGGACATCACTGCCCAGGAAACTTGTGTTAATACTTAAGCTCACTAGCAGAGAATTCAATCTAAACATTGTATGACTGCATGGTAAGAGTTTGTCATCCATATGTTCATCAAAATTTGTGTTTCTAGCAATTGATGGGGATGGAATGCTTTGTGCTGTAAAAAAAATAACCTTAGCGAAGAGTCATAGGGGTGTCGGGGGATCATTTCTTTCAGAATTCTACAGTGATTTTTTCAGTGCTAAGTTGTGGACATCACTGCCCAGGAAACTTGTGTTAATACTTAAGCTCACTAGCAGAGAATTCAATCTAAACATTGTATGACTGCATGGTAAGAGTTTGTCATCCATATGTTCATCAAAATTTGTGTTTCTAGCAATTGATGGGGATGGAATGCTTTGTGCTGTAAAAAAAATAACCTTAGCGAAGAGTCATAGGGGTGTCGGGGGATCATTTCTTTCAGAATTCTACAGTGATTTTTTCAGTGCTAAGTTGTGGACATCACTGCCCAGGAAACTTGTGTTAATACTTAAGCTCACTAGCAGAGAATTCAATCTAAACATTGTATGACTGCATGGTAAGAGTTTGTCATCCATATGTTCATCAAAATTTGTGTTTCTAGCAATTGATGGGGATGGAATGCTTTGTGCTGTAAAAAAAATAACCTTAGCGAAGAGTCATAGGGGTGTCGGGGGATCATTTCTTTCAGAATTCTACAGTGATTTTTTCAGTGCTAAGTTGTGGACATCACTGCCCAGGAAACTTGTGTTAATACTTAAGCTCACTAGCAGAGAATTCAATCTAAACATTGTATGACTGCATGGTAAGAGTTTGTCATCCATATGTTCATCAAAATTTGTGTTTCTAGCAATTGATGGGGATGGAATGCTTTGTGCTGTAAAAAAAATAACCTTAGCGAAGAGTCATAGGGGTGTCGGGGGATCATTTCTTTCAGAATTCTACAGTGATTTTTTCAGTGCTAAGTTGTGGACATCACTGCCCAGGAAACTTGTGTTAATACTTAAGCTCACTAGCAGAGAATTCAATCTAAACATTGTATGACTGCATGGTAAGAGTTTGTCATCCATATGTTCATCAAAATTTGTGTTTCTAGCAATTGATGGGGATGGAATGCTTTGTGCTGTAAAAAAAATAACCTTAGCGAAGAGTCATAGGGGTGTCGGGGGATCATTTCTTTCAGAATTCTACAGTGATTTTTTCAGTGCTAAGTTGTGGACATCACTGCCCAGGAAACTTGTGTTAATACTTAAGCTCACTAGCAGAGAATTCAATCTAAACATTGTATGACTGCATGGTAAGAGTTTGTCATCCATATGTTCATCAAAATTTGTGTTTCTAGCAATTGATGGGGATGGAATGCTTTGTGCTGTAAAAAAAATAACCTTAGCGAAGAGTCATAGGGGTGTCGGGGGATCATTTCTTTCAGAATTCTACAGTGATTTTTTCAGTGCTAAGTTGTGGACATCACTGCCCAGGAAACTTGTGTTAATACTTAAGCTCACTAGCAGAGAATTCAATCTAAACATTGTATGACTGCATGGTAAGAGTTTGTCATCCATATGTTCATCAAAATTTGTGTTTCTAGCAATTGATGGGGATGGAATGCTTTGTGCTGTAAAAAAAATAACCTTAGCGAAGAGTCATAGGGGTGTCGGGGGATCATTTCTTTCAGAATTCTACAGTGATTTTTTCAGTGCTAAGTTGTGGACATCACTGCCCAGGAAACTTGTGTTAATACTTAAGCTCACTAGCAGAGAATTCAATCTAAACATTGTATGACTGCATGGTAAGAGTTTGTCATCCATATGTTCATCAAAATTTGTGTTTCTAGCAATTGATGGGGATGGAATGCTTTGTGCTGTAAAAAAAATAACCTTAGCGAAGAGTCATAGGGGTGTCGGGGGATCATTTCTTTCAGAATTCTACAGTGATTTTTTCAGTGCTAAGTTGTGGACATCACTGCCCAGGAAACTTGTGTTAATACTTAAGCTCACTAGCAGAGAATTCAATCTAAACATTGTATGACTGCATGGTAAGAGTTTGTCATCCATATGTTCATCAAAATTTGTGTTTCTAGCAATTGATGGGGATGGAATGCTTTGTGCTGTAAAAAAAATAACCTTAGCGAAGAGTCATAGGGGTGTCGGGGGATCATTTCTTTCAGAATTCTACAGTGATTTTTTCAGTGCTAAGTTGTGGACATCACTGCCCAGGAAACTTGTGTTAATACTTAAGCTCACTAGCAGAGAATTCAATCTAAACATTGTATGACTGCATGGTAAGAGTTTGTCATCCATATGTTCATCAAAATTTGTGTTTCTAGCAATTGATGGGGATGGAATGCTTTGTGCTGTAAAAAAAATAACCTTAGCGAAGAGTCATAGGGGTGTCGGGGGATCATTTCTTTCAGAATTCTACAGTGATTTTTTCAGTGCTAAGTTGTGGACATCACTGCCCAGGAAACTTGTGTTAATACTTAAGCTCACTAGCAGAGAATTCAATCTAAACATTGTATGACTGCATGGTAAGAGTTTGTCATCCATATGTTCATCAAAATTTGTGTTTCTAGCAATTGATGGGGATGGAATGCTTTGTGCTGTAAAAAAAATAACCTTAGCGAAGAGTCATAGGGGTGTCGGGGGATCATTTCTTTCAGAATTCTACAGTGATTTTTTCAGTGCTAAGTTGTGGACATCACTGCCCAGGAAACTTGTGTTAATACTTAAGCTCACTAGCAGAGAATTCAATCTAAACATTGTATGACTGCATGGTAAGAGTTTGTCATCCATATGTTCATCAAAATTTGTGTTTCTAGCAATTGATGGGGATGGAATGCTTTGTGCTGTAAAAAAAATAACCTTAGCGAAGAGTCATAGGGGTGTCGGGGGATCATTTCTTTCAGAATTCTACAGTGATTTTTTCAGTGCTAAGTTGTGGACATCACTGCCCAGGAAACTTGTGTTAATACTTAAGCTCACTAGCAGAGAATTCAATCTAAACATTGTATGACTGCATGGTAAGAGTTTGTCATCCATATGTTCATCAAAATTTGTGTTTCTAGCAATTGATGGGGATGGAATGCTTTGTGCTGTAAAAAAAATAACCTTAGCGAAGAGTCATAGGGGTGTCGGGGGATCATTTCTTTCAGAATTCTACAGTGATTTTTTCAGTGCTAAGTTGTGGACATCACTGCCCAGGAAACTTGTGTTAATACTTAAGCTCACTAGCAGAGAATTCAATCTAAACATTGTATGACTGCATGGTAAGAGTTTGTCATCCATATGTTCATCAAAATTTGTGTTTCTAGCAATTGATGGGGATGGAATGCTTTGTGCTGTAAAAAAAATAACCTTAGCGAAGAGTCATAGGGGTGTCGGGGGATCATTTCTTTCAGAATTCTACAGTGATTTTTTCAGTGCTAAGTTGTGGACATCACTGCCCAGGAAACTTGTGTTAATACTTAAGCTCACTAGCAGAGAATTCAATCTAAACATTGTATGACTGCATGGTAAGAGTTTGTCATCCATATGTTCATCAAAATTTGTGTTTCTAGCAATTGATGGGGATGGAATGCTTTGTGCTGTAAAAAAAATAACCTTAGCGAAGAGTCATAGGGGTGTCGGGGGATCATTTCTTTCAGAATTCTACAGTGATTTTTTCAGTGCTAAGTTGTGGACATCACTGCCCAGGNTTCATTGATGAGCTGAGGTGATAGTAGCAAGAGAAATAAAATTCAGTGTGCCGTCCTGAAACTTGATGAATGATAAACCTCAGCTTATGATGTTCGGTGCTCTGAAGTTACATTGACCATGTGCTCTGAAAACCTCAGCTTATGATGTTTGGCTTGTTGAAGATCCATTGATCCATGTGTTATGCAGAAATGGCTCCTTGTATAAAGACCAGCAGTTCATTATTTTATCATTGACTAGTTTAGTTGAAAGCATAATTATTAAATGAATTCTTTTCTATATTTGTTCACCTATTGTACCACATTAAAAAAAATGTTTTATTGTGTCCATTGCCAGTGATAAAAACTCAGCACACAAGTAGCAAGCAAGGTTCACACGGGTTTCCACTCTAAAACTCAAGTTTAGTTTGGTATTTATTTTTACGTTGATGGTTATGAGTTTGCCTTCTAGATTTTCATGGTTTCAACCTCCTACTCATGATCGTTTATGTTTTGTAATTTGACATTGTAAGTTGGAAACACTTTGTTCAGCCGATGACAGCCGGCAAAATACCAGTTGCTTTATCTGGACCGAAGTTTTTTCTACAGGTCTACGGCACTCTTAGAACTCCCTTCTGCAGACCTTGCTTTGCAAGATTTTTTTTTTTTTTTANATAATAAAAATTACAAATAGAATACAGCTAAAATTTAAAAATATGATAAAAGTTAAAAATTTTAAAAATCTAAATCTAGGTATGCACAACTAAAAAACTAAGCTAAGGTCATGGCAGACAAATACAGCTTGTAAATCTAAAAACTAAGCTAAGATCATGGCAGACAAATACAGCTTGTAAATCTAAAAACTAAGCTAAGATCATGGCAGACAAATACAGCTTGTAAATCATAATGAGATAGTTTCAAAAAAAATTAGGCAGTTCAAAATAAAATCACAAAATTATAACTCTTCAAGTTGTTCAGTCGTGCAGGCAGGCTGTTCCATCCACATTGTGCTTGAGATCAGAGTTTCTCTTTTAGTTACTTCTTCAAAGAGTCGCTAGTTTTGGGTAGGCTGTCACTTTCAGGGGGACCGTCAAGTATTTTGGCATTCAATAGGAAGGTAAAAAAAATAATAACCTTAGCGAAGAGTCATAGGGGTGTCGGGGGATCATTTCTTTCAGAATTCTACAGTGATTTTTTCAGTGCTAAGTTGTGGACATCACTGCCCGGGAAACTTCTGTTAATACTTAAGCTCACTAGCAGAGAATTCAATCTAAACATTGTATGACTGCATGGTAAGAGTTTGTCATCCGTATGTTCATCAAAATTTGTGTTTCTAGCAATTGATGGGGATGGAATGCTTTGTGCTGTAAAAAAAATAACCTTAGCGAAGAGTCATAGGGGTGTCGGGGGATCATTTCTTTCAGAATTCTACAGTGATTTTTTCAGTGCTAAGTTGTGGACATCACTGCCCAGGAAACTTGTGTTAATACTTAAGCTCACTAGCAGAGAATTCAATCTAAACATTGTATGACTGCATGGTAAGAGTTTGTCATCCGTATGTTCATCAAAATTTGTGTTTCTAGCAATTGATGGGGATGGAATGCTTTGTGCTGTAACATTCCAAGATGGACATGTACACTTCCAGTCCAAGTTTGTTAATAGTGAACATCGGCAAGAAGAAGCTGCCAAGCAAAAGTTCTTGTACCATGGCCAAATGGGGACAAAACCTTCCTATTCAATGATGAAATCTCTTGGAACTCTTCTCACCACTTGGAAAGTTCCACCAATAAAGTTTCGTAATCCCTCCAATACTAACTCATTCTACTGGGGTGGAAAGGTTTGTTGTTTTCAGTGAATGTACTTTTGAACTCTGAACCTTAGGGTTTAAAAAGACATTAATATCTATTAATGGTAGTTTTGCCACATTGTTGGTCAAAAAAGTGCCAAAGATCTGACTAAGTACCTCCTTACTCAAGTGCTAAATTCTCCCAGATCACCAAGTTGAAGATAGTACTGCACCTTTCAATAACATGTGAGCTCTGCAGAATCAGTGATTTTATGTTTTGCTGCCGTCAATCATCTTAGAGGACCTCTCGAGAAAAATAAGTTTATTTCAATGTATTTACAAGGTTTCATTTGATGGTTGTGATTGGTAGATTTTGATCCATTTTGTTTGTTTGTTTTTATTTTTTTTCAAGGTTCGTTGATTGTAATTGAAATTATGATTGATGGCAGCCAAAAATGCAACTGTTAGTTAGGATTTGAACTTCATAGTTTGCATGCTATTGGAAGGCATGATGAGAGAACTGTCCAAGGCAGTGCAAATTTTCTTGCAGACATGACAACAGACTTTGAGATCACAAACTTATGAATTTGTAACTTACTGTGACACTCCTTTAATAACATCAATTCAGTCTAAACAAATACTATTAATAGTACTTACTGTTTAACAATTTAAGTACTTAGATCATTATTTTTAGGTTGCATCTTCAATGAAAATATATGTCCTTTGGGTTTTGAAAGGTCATCACAGCTCATTCAACAAGAATCATCAACAAGAAGAATCTTGACTCATTCCTTGAGTCTTTGTTCCTTACTGTGCAAGCTTGATGAAATGAGCATCTCTCAGGAGTTCTGTTATACGCTCAATTTTGATTGGTTTTAAAACCAATGGAAATGAGCGGAACACTAGTGACTCGATTGAGCATTACCTGCAAAAACAATTCGGACAATTTTAATTTCAAACAAAAAAGAGTCCGAAAATACTACCATCCAAAATTGTAAAGTGTCCAAAATTTCAGTACAGTGAAAAACTTGGGAGTAGCTTCAAAGCTCTTAGTTTCCTTTATTCCAGGCTTTATGGAGCAAACTCTAGTTGAGACATGACTTGACATACGTAATGGTTTGATAGAATTTGTGTTATTTTCTTGTCTTATTTAGCCATCATTTTGACAGATGTTTCAGTCTAAATTTGGTTGGTTTAAATTTACTTTAGCTATGTTTAAGCAGTGTCTGAAACTGTTGTGCAAAACTGGTCTGAAATGAGGTAATGAGTGTCTGAAAATTACGGTTGAAATAAGATTTCCAAAACATCAGCATAATTCAACTGGGAGTCCAATATTTTGTGATCTCTAAACAGAACTTTTCAGGATTTGCTCATTTCCTGGCTGAGCGCTGGTTAACCAGTTACCAACAAAAGAGCTTTAATTTGCTTTCACAACATGGCCAAAATGGTATAAATAATTATTTCCACTTCAGAAGTATGTAAACTAACTTAAGTTTTAATTACAGTGCATATTCAGTCATGTGATGTGTTTAGACCAATCATGCGCAAGCAAAATTATTTGATGCATTGTAAGTTCCAATATGAACAGACAGCAAAATTCAACCCAGTAACCGAGCCAACCTGGCAGTTGCCAGGCTCCATATGGAGATCAAGGCCCAAGTTTTGTTCCTACAAGTATTTGAGGAAAACCCTTCGATTGTCAATTTTCTGTTGCTAGGTATTGACATGTTATGAGACAGGAGTACCGTATTGTTTGGATCCATACACACTAGAGACACTTGGTCCAGAGTATCTGAATGGTCACTTAAACCTGGGATGCTTTGCTGCACATTTCAGGATTGATTCTGAAAGAAAGGTACTTGATAGTTAATTTAATTTAAGAATTACAATTTTGATGTAAAATGCATGCTCTGAAATTGATATTGAAGTTTTGCTTGCCCATTTAATCTGGCAATACAATAATTGTTAATACTAAAAAGACAAAAAACATCAAGAAGGTAAAGGTGTGTTTCCAAAATGTTTCATGTGAGACACACCCTTGAAAAAACTACTTGTCTGAATGAATGGCTTTCAAGAAACTGGGCCACATGTAGTAAGTATACTGCCCTTTATACCACAAGATTCCCACCCTTTTAAAACTGTCAACCTTTCAGTGTTAGTATTATTCTATCATTGTACATAGTGAGCAATAGTTTTCTTTCCCTTAACGATTGGTATTCAAGAGAAGTGAGCAAACGAGTAGGGAAAATGGCTGCATATTGAACAGGGGATGTAATGAGCAGAGCCTGTTTATAGACTAGCTTGTGTGTGTGTCTTTATTTTTCAGCGACTCGTGTGTATAAGTATGCGCCCAGGATTTGCACAGAGATCTCCCAGCCTAACAGTATATGAATTTGACCCATCATGGAATTTGTGTCAAAAGCAAATCCATCATATTGAAGGTTTGAATTATGCGCACGACTTTGTCCTGTTACCTGACTACTATGTGTTCCACATGACGCCATTTGTCAAGGGATCCTGGTGGATAACCACAAAGATCTTGTTAGGGTGGAGTTCACCAGGAGATGAGATGAGGTATTACCCAGAGCTGCCTTCACGCTTTGTTATCATACCGCGCCATACAAGTGGTGATAGTGCAGGGGTGATGTTTGTGGACACAGATCCCTGTCATGTAAGTTCAAAGTTTGGCTTTATTAAGTGTAATGTAGCACTGTTCCTGAGTGAGTGCATTTATCTTTAGTCAATGATTCTATATTTTAGGTTGAGATGAAGTACGAACAGAAACTCTTTTAAAATGCCCTGAGTCTCTAACGTAGCTTATTTAACCGCAAATAATGAGGAGCACCTAGCGGTTTGTTTCGTTAATCATCCTTTCGTTAATTGCGGGAAAACCGTCGTTGGGTGCCCCTGAGTAGTTTGCGTGTTTACGAGAGGTAAAAAAAATCCTCTGAGAAATAGGCTACAGCAGTAATTCTCGTTTTCAACCACAGCTCTGAATAAGAGCCCGGGGAGGATGCCTACTCCCAGAAAAATTGGGTGGGGAGGGGGGGTGTGCAGCCCACTTCCCAAAACTCTTAGTCTATTTAAGACCAAAATCTGTGATTTTCCCAACCCTTTTATGACCTGACCAAAAATTTGATACCCTATTTAAGGCCTGACCTTAAATCATAGGCTCCGTTTCCGCCGCTCTCTCGTGTCTGGTCTGCGTTCCCTAGTTCAGACCAAAGTTAAAGGCATTGTGACGGGCTTTTGTTGATGGTCTTATCGATAATAATGAAAGAGTAATTTCTTCTAAAAAAAAAACACCCTATTTGAGACCAGAATGGCCAAAATCGATGCCCTATTTCTGACCAAAACGGGTTAAAACCATACCCTTTGGTGCCGGCCACATACCTATATAGCCCATATAAGAGAGTATACGGGAGTACCCCCGGAATAAGAACCCATCTTTTTCTGCTTCCCCCTTCGGCGCAAAACAACAGTAGTAAGAGTACCTTATGGCTCTATTTTCAGATCTTCCATTTTGGCACAGCCCAGCAGGTTGGCAACAAGATCGAATTCTCCGCTGTGTGTCTGGACACCAATTTTGACATGACTTTCGACAGTGAGATCTGGCTGAGTAACACCTCCGTGTCACCAGGCCTCGCTTACAGTTTCACCATCGACTTGACCTCAAAGCGTTGTTCTCGAACACAAATCGATCGCGCCAGCGTGGAGTTCCCGTCCACGCACCCTTACAGACACGGAATACGTGGGACGCGTTATAACTACTTCATGGCATGCGATAGACCTGGGTTTAACCTTCCTTACCGGGACGTGGTTAAGGTAAGACAACGGGTTGTGGCAAGCGCCTCGCATGGGCACTCTTGTCCCATTCGCGCTTTTCCTTTTGGGAATCCTCTTTTCTTTTCTTTTTTTTTTCCACTGTTTTAGATATATGTCTAGCTCTTATTAACCGAGATGGAGGTCTGTATGGGAGAATCTTGACCGAGGTCGTGAGTACAGACCAAACGCAGAGAGGTCTGTACACACGACCGAGGTCAAGATTCTCCCATACAGACCGACTAAGCTCGGTTAATAAAGTGTTTATTACATGGCAAACAAGAAAAATTTAATTCGTTTAATGTAACTGGTTTGTACTACGAATTACTATTTACGAATTTGTATTACGAAATCACAACTGAAGTGACCCGCTCATCGCAGTTATGCACAAAACTTAAGCAGTTGTGAAATGAAAGCTTGAAAAAAATTCAGGCCTGAACGGGATTCGATTCGTGCACTGCGTCGGTATCGCAGAGGTTATGTGTTCGAATCCCATTTGGTCCTGAATTTTTTTTCAGGCTTTATGTTCACAACTGCTTAAGTTGTGTGCATAACTGCGATGATCAATCATGTCTTTATAAAGATTTAATGAAATGGTTTGAACCCAGGAATATGAGTAGTTCGTATAGTGTGATCGTCCGGATGAGGGTAGTTCTGAATAGAAGTACCCTCATCCGGACGACGTCAGGTCACGTTGTCGAACTGACGTTTCGACAACGTGAGCAGAGGTCATCTTCAGAGTCAAGTCACTATATTCACTGACTTGACTCTCAAGATGACTTCTGCTCAGGTGGTCGAAACGTCAGTCACCAACAACAGTTCTTTTCAGAACTGCTCACCCAGACTATCATACTATACGAACTTAAGATTAAATATATTACCCCGTTTTGCAGTTAGACGCTGAAAACGGTCATCGTCAAGTCTGGTACTCTCACGGCTGCCTTGGCGAACCTGTCTTCGTGCCCCGACAGGGTTACGAGTCCTGGCGAGAAGGCGACGAAGATGATGGATACGTCATCGTTCAGGTGTATATCCCGGAGAGGCACGTGACCGAGTTCTGTGTGTTGGACGCTAAGGATGTCGGGAAGGGACCTTTAGCGAGGATCAAACTGAAGCACCACGTGCCTTATGGTTTCCATGGCACCTTTACTCCTGAGGTCTTCACTCATAGGCCTAGGCTGGTTTCAAAGTTGTAATAAAGGAGCTTGAAGTTCTGGAAGAGCCGTCGTTTTCGACAGCATAAAAAAACTAAGGGCCACATAAGTTAAAATATTTAATTCGCTTGAGCTTTTTGACGAAATTTCTTTGCCATTTCTGTTTGCATATGATGGATGTAACTTTATTTGAGTCTATGAATGATTTGACCATTTTGGCTGAAGAAGGTTGGGCACGTAATAGAACGTTTTCGTATGACGTCTTGGCAGCCATGTTGGTGTGTGAAGATCTCCTACTGTTTGGGAGCACCAATGTTGTCAAAGAGAAAACTATTCTTGCGAAAACTGACCAGAGAAAGTAACATGATTTCAGTTGTTTTAAGTGTTACAAGTTTGAGAAAATTTAGAAGTGGGGTGGGGTGGTGGATAGAGGGCCAAATAAAAAGTACCCTACAATTGGGTGAAGGGCTTCGGAGGGAATTAAACAGTGTTTTTTCCTGAGTTATGCACCACAATTTTTGCTTTCTGTTCACGGATCGCTTATAGTTTGTATGAGGTTATTTAAATTCGATTGTGACTACAGTTGACAAAATTAAAAATAACTTGCCTTTTGAATTTTGTGTAAGGTGTCTTCTGTGTGCTAAAAACAGAAAACGCGCGCGTGAACTTGATGAGAACTTGAGCCAGAATTACTCAACAAATGTGCAACAAGCACAGGTTCAAAGTTGTTTTTGCTGAGCGGAAATATCGCTGTGCTAAACATAAACACAACGATTTCCCCCCAGCTCTGACCTCCTTCACATGACCACTACGAAACACAAGTATGAAGCACGTAAACTCTAAACAAGTATACGTAGTCGGCCGTTTTCTGGTCATTTTCTTTATTGTTTAACCATCGTCAGCCTAATTAAAATTAAATTTCGCGCACACTCTACATTTAAGTCCCGGATGTGTCGTGGCATTCTGCGCAATGCATGGCCACGTTAACGCGGCTCTAAGTGAAAGTGTGCCAGACATTTCATAAAATTATTGTAATACTAGCTTCGCATGCAGATTTTAGCATGCTTCCTCCGGAAAATCGTCGGAAAGCAATTACGCGTTTTAAGCGAGAACTCTGACCTTGACGTTCTCAAACTTGATAATGATATCCTGACGATGTCGAAATGTTTTTGTTTTTATTCTCGCTTGTCTTATTGAAGAAATTAATTAATTTTTTATCTCCTCTAAACCAGATGATGGTCAAGTCCGGGCCCGGTAGACCCTCATATGAAACGGACGGGCGCCGGAATGCTCGTCGGAAATTTTGAAAAGAACCCCTAAAGGTGCCGAGATCCTGTTTTGTGGGAGTTACTTGAAATTGTTTCACCCCTAAGAGGTACCAATTCTGAGACAAAAAATTAAAGAATCAGCTGGTTTTCAAACATCTGTCATATTTTTGTTTTGGGTCAATACCCTAAAGGGTACCACAACAACTCCCGCTGTGGACTTTTTGAGACTGAACACCCTAAAGCCTGGTTCTCATATCCCGCCGACCTACCCGCGACGTAGTCGCAGGTTGCAGTTTCCGGCGCATTATATTTGCGATGGATCACCGACGTACTTAAATTGGCGCGAAATGCAAATCGAATTGGCGCAATTTGCAACCATTCCATCAGTAAATATGGAATTGTGGGAAAAATCGAGATGTCATGTCACACATTGCGTCCGCAGATGATGCTTGCCTGAGAGACTCAACTTCGCAGGCAAGCCGGCGGTCAATGCCTAAGACAGATTATGATTCGGCGATAAATGTTCACATATGCCGTAACGGTGTCCCAGGCCGTACCGGCGGCTATGTCCCAGGTAAGTCGGCGGCATAGGAGAACCAGGCTTAAGAGGACATATAGACAATAGAGCAAAGAACAGAAACAATGCATGTCCCCNTTTAATTACAGTGCATATTCAGTCATGTGATGTGTTTAGACCAATCATGCGCAAGCAAAATTATTTGATGCATTGTAAGTTCCAATATGAACAGACAGCAAAATTCAACCCAGTAACCGAGCCAACCTGGCAGTTGCCAGGCTCCATATGGAGATCAAGGCCCAAGTTTTGTTCCTACAAGTATTTGAGGAAAACCCTTCGATTGTCAATTTTCTGTTGCTAGGTATTGACATGTTATGAGACAGGAGTACCGTATTGTTTGGATCCATACACACTAGAGACACTTGGTCCAGAGTATCTGAATGGTCACTTAAACCTGGGATGCTTTGCTGCACATTTCAGGATTGATTCTGAAAGAAAGGTACTTGATAGTTAATTTAATTTAAGAATTACAATTTTGATGTAAAATGCATGCTCTGAAATTGATATTGAAGTTTTGCTTGCCCATTTAATCTGGCAATACAATAATTGTTAATACTAAAAAGACAAAAAACATCAAGAAGGTAAAGGTGTGTTTCCAAAATGTTTCATGTGAGACACACCCTTGAAAAAACTACTTGTCTGAATGAATGGCTTTCAAGAAACTGGGCCACATGTAGTAAGTATACTGCCCTTTATACCACAAGATTCCCACCCTTTTAAAACTGTCAACCTTTCAGTGTTAGTATTATTCTATCATTGTACATAGTGAGCAATAGTTTTCTTTCCCTTAACGATTGGTATTCAAGAGAAGTGAGCAAACGAGTAGGGAAAATGGCTGCATATTGAACAGGGGATGTAATGAGCAGAGCCTGTTTATAGACTAGCTTGTGTGTGTGTCTTTATTTTTCAGCGACTCGTGTGTATAAGTATGCGCCCAGGATTTGCACAGAGATCTCCCAGCCTAACAGTATATGAATTTGACCCATCATGGAATTTGTGTCAAAAGCAAATCCATCATATTGAAGGTTTGAATTATGCGCACGACTTTGTCCTGTTACCTGACTACTATGTGTTCCACATGACGCCATTTGTCAAGGGATCCTGGTGGATAACCACAAAGATCTTGTTAGGGTGGAGTTCACCAGGAGATGAGATGAGGTATTACCCAGAGCTGCCTTCACGCTTTGTTATCATACCGCGCCATACAAGTGGTGATAGTGCAGGGGTGATGTTTGTGGACACAGATCCCTGTCATGTAAGTTCAAAGTTTGGCTTTATTAAGTGTAATGTAGCACTGTTCCTGAGTGAGTGCATTTATCTTTAGTCAATGATTCTATATTTTAGGTTGAGATGAAGTACGAACAGAAACTCTTTTAAAATGCCCTGAGTCTCTAACGTAGCTTATTTAACCGCAAATAATGAGGAGCACCTAGCGGTTTGTTTCGTTAATCATCCTTTCGTTAATTGCGGGAAAACCGTCGTTGGGTGCCCCTGAGTAGTTTGCGTGTTTACAAGAGGTAAAAAAAATCCTCTGAGAAATAGGCTACAGCAGTAATTCTCGTTTTCAACCACAGCTCTGAATAAGAGCCCGGGGAGGATGCCTACTCCCAGAAAAATTGGGTGGGGAGGGGGGGTGTGCAGCCCACTTCCCAAAACTCTTAGTCTATTTAAGACCAAAATCTGTGATTTTCCCAACCCTTTTATGACCTGACCAAAAATTTGATACCCTATTTAAGGCCTGACCTTAAATCATAGGCTCCGTTTCCGCCGCTCTCTCGTGTCTGGTCTGCGTTCCCTAGTTCAGACCAAAGTTAAAGGCATTGTGACGGGCTTTTGTTGATGGTCTTATCGATAATAATGAAAGAGTAATTTCTTCTAAAAAAAAAACACCCTATTTGAGACCAGAATGGCCAAAATCGATGCCCTATTTCTGACCAAAACGGGTTAAAACCATACCCTTTGGTGCCGGCCACATACCTATATAGCCCATATAAGAGAGTATACGGGAGTACCCCCGGAATAAGAACCCATCTTTTTCTGCTTCCCCCTTCGGCGCAAAACAACAGTAGTAAGAGTACCTTATGGCTCTATTTTCAGATCTTCCATTTTGGCACAGCCCAGCAGGTTGGCAACAAGATCGAATTCTCCGCTGTGTGTCTGGACACCAATTTTGACATGACTTTCGACAGTGAGATCTGGCTGAGTAACACCTCCGTGTCACCAGGCCTCGCTTACAGTTTCACCATCGACTTGACCTCAAAGCGTTGTTCTCGAACACAAATCGATCGCGCCAGCGTGGAGTTCCCGTCCACGCACCCTTACAGACACGGAATACGTGGGACGCGTTATAACTACTTCATGGCATGCGATAGACCTGGGTTTAACCTTCCTTACCGGGACGTGGTTAAGGTAAGACAACGGGTTGTGGCAAGCGCCTCGCATGGGCACTCTTGTCCCATTCGCGCTTTTCCTTTTGGGAATCCTCTTTTCTTTTCTTTTTTTTTACCACTGTTTTAGATATATGTCTAGCTCTTATTAACCGAGATGGAGGTCTGTATGGGAGAATCTTGACCGAGGTCGTGAGTACAGACCAAACGCAGAGAGGTCTGTACACACAACCGAGGTCAAGATTCTCCCATACAGACCGACTAAGCTCGGTTAATAAAGTGTTTATTACATGGCAAACAAGAAAAATTTAATTCGTTTAATGTAACTGGTTTGTACTACGAATTACTATTTACGAATTTGTATTACGAACTCACAACTGAAGTGACCCGCTCATCGCAGTTATGCACAAAACTTAAGCAGTTGTGAAATGAAAGCTTGAAAAAAATTCAGGCCTGAACGGGATTCGATTCGTGCACTGCGTCGGTATCGCAGAGGTTATGTGTTCGAATCCCATTTGGTCCTGAATTTTTTTTCAGGCTTTATGTTCACAACTGCTTAAGTTGTGTGCATAACTGCGATGATCAATCATGTCTTTATAAAGATTTAATGAAATGGTTTGAACCCAGGAATATGAGTAGTTCGTATAGTGTGATCGTCCGGATGAGGGTAGTTCTGAATAGAAGTACCCTCATCCGGACGACGTCAGGTCACGTTGTCGAACTGACGTTTCGACAACGTGAGCAGAGGTCATCTTCAGAGTCAAGTCACTATATTCACTGACTTGACTCTCAAGATGACTTCTGCTCAGGTGGTCGAAACGTCAGTCACCAACAACAGTTCTTTTCAGAACTGCTCACCCAGACTATCATACTATACGAACTTAAGATTAAATATATTACCCCGTTTTGCAGTTAGACGCTGAAAACGGTCATCGTCAAGTCTGGTACTCTCACGGCTGCCTTGGCGAACCTGTCTTCGTGCCCCGACAGGGTTACGAGTCCTGGCGAGAAGGCGACGAAGATGATGGATACGTCATCGTTCAGGTGTATATCCCGGAGAGGCACGTGACCGAGTTCTGTGTGTTGGACGCTAAGGATGTCGGGAAGGGACCTTTAGCGAGGATCAAACTGAAGCACCACGTGCCTTATGGTTTCCATGGCACCTTTACTCCTGAGGTCTTCACTCATAGGCCTAGGCTGGTTTCAAAGTTGTAATAAAGGAGCTTGAAGTTCTGGAAGAGCCGTCGTTTTCGACAGCATAAAAAAACTAAGGGCCACATAAGTTAAAATATTTAATTCGCTTGAGCTTTTTGACGAAATTTCTTTGCCATTTCTGTTTGCATATGATGGATGTAACTTTATTTGAGTCTATGAATGATTTGACCATTTTGGCTGAAGAAGGTTGGGCACGTAATAGAACGTTTTCGTATGACGTCTTGGCAGCCATGTTGGTGTGTGAAGATCTCCTACTGTTTGGGAGCACCAATGTTGTCAAAGAGAAAACTATTCTTGCGAAAACTGACCAGAGAAAGTAACATGATTTCAGTTGTTTTAAGTGTTACAAGTTTGAGAAAATTTAGAAGTGGGGTGGGGTGGTGGATAGAGGGCCAAATAAAAAGTACCCTACAATTGGGTGAAGGGCTTCGGAGGGAATTAAACAGTGTTTTTTCCTGAGTTATGCACCACAATTTTTGCTTTCTGTTCACGGATCGCTTATAGTTTGTATGAGGTTATTTAAATTCGATTGTGACTACAGTTGACAAAATTAAAAATAACTTGCCTTTTGAATTTTGTGTAAGGTGTCTTCTGTGTGCTAAAAACAGAAAACGCGCGCGTGAACTTGATGAGAACTTGAGCCAGAATTACTCAACAAATGTGCAACAAGCACAGGTTCAAAGTTGTTTTTGCTGAGCGGAAATATCGCTGTGCTAAACATAAACACAACGATTTCCCCCCAGCTCTGACCTCCTTCACATGACCACTACGAAACACAAGTATGAAGCACGTAAACTCTAAACAAGTATACGTAGTCGGCCGTTTTCTGGTCATTTTCTTTATTGTTTAACCATCGTCAGCCTAATTAAAATTAAATTTCGCGCACACTCTACATTTAAGTCCCGGATGTGTCGTGGCATTCTGCGCAATGCATGGCCACGTTAACGCGGCTCTAAGTGAAAGTGTGCCAGACATTTCATAAAATTATTGTAATACTAGCTTCGCATGTAGATTTTAGCATGCTTCCTCCGGAAAATCGTCGGAAAGCAATTACGCGTTTTAAGCGAGAACTCTGACCTTGACGTTCTCAAACTTGATAATGATATCCTGACGATGTCGAAATGTTTTTGTTTTTATTCTCGCTTGTCTTATTGAAGAAATTAATTAATTTTTTATCTCCTCTAAACCAGATGATGGTCAAGTCCGGGCCCGGTAGACCCTCATATGAAACGGACGGGCGCCGGAATGCTCGTCGGAAATTTTGAAAAGAACCCCTAAAGGTGCCGAGATCCTGTTTTGTGGGAGTTACTTGAAATTGTTTCACCCCTAAGAGGTACCAATTCTGAGACAAAAAATTAAAGAATCAGCTGGTTTTCAAACATCTGTCATATTTTTGTTTTGGGTCAATACCCTAAAGGGTACCACAACAACTCCCGCTGTGGACTTTTTGAGACTGAACACCCTAAAGCCTGGTTCTCATATCCCGCCGACCTACCCGCGACGTAGTCGCAGGTTGCAGTTTCCGGCGCATTATATTTGCGATGGATCACCGACGTACTTAAATTGGCGCGAAATGCAAATCGAATTGGCGCAATTTGCAACCATTCCATCAGTAAATATGGAATTGTGGGAAAAATCGAGATGTCATGTCACACATTGCGTCCGCAGATGATGCTTGCCTGAGAGACTCAACTTCGCAGGCAAGCCGGCGGTCAATGCCTAAGACAGATTATGATTCGGCGATAAATGTTCACATATGCCGTAACGGTGTCCCAGGCCGTACCGGCGGCTATGTCCCAGGTAAGTCGGCGGCATAGGAGAACCAGGCTTAAGAGGACATATAGACAATAGAGCAAAGAACAGAAACAATGCATGTCCCCNCCGCGCGGGGGCGAAGCTGATCTTTCTGGAAATTAACCAAACGGAGCGATTACTCTGAAATTTTCACTCAAGGTAATATGATAAGATGTTATGAGATTCATTTGAGACCAAAATACCCTTTAGTCAAGTCTTGTGGCCACAGTTTTCAATCAGTTTAAAACAGCTTTGTTTTTGTTGCATTTTGCCACTGGCCATGAAACTTCACCTGCAGTTGTCTAGAAAACGCTCTCGTAAAAGTTTTTGTTAGTCACAGGATCACAGCAAGGACAAAGAACACATTAACCCGATGGCAACTAAAAGCAAACACGTGCAACAGAGATTCAAAGGTGTCGCTAAGGAAATATCGCTGTGCTAAACATAAACAAGGCATCCAGCACAGCAATAGCTGGTTTTCACGTGACGTCACCAAAATTCGAACTACAAAACTATTGATCTTCTTGAGATTTTACTTAAATGATGTATAAGAGCAGCTGAAA